CCCTCCCGCCTTGGCCTCCCAAAGTGCTAGGATTACAGGCATGAGCCACCGTGCCTGGCCTACACTTTTTAAAATACTAAAAATTCAGTTTCCCAGTTGCACTAGCTGCATGTCAAGTGCTCTGTGGGCCCAGTGGCTACCATATTGGACAGCACAGATCTAGGGGAAGATGGACAAGAAACTAGAAAACAAGTAAACACATGAGAGTTTCCCAGAGCATGGAGAGCTATGAAGAAGTCCTGAAGGGTGTGAGCTTGGCTAGCAGGTAGACAGCAAGATATGGGGACAAGGCTGGAGAAGCTGGTGAGACTGGGCCATGCCAGGCCAGATGGACATCCACTCTTTGCTGAGCGCGCCCTGGTACTGTCCCATCCTCCTTACCCTCTGCCCCCTCAGCTGCTGGATCCAGCCCCCACATTGGTCCCTTTCTTTGCACATCCTCCAGTTCAGCAGGGCCAGTGGGCTGGGTGGGGCTGCATTAACAGTCAAGAAGACCTGGGTTCCAGGCCTGTTTCCGTGCGACTTTGTGCTGTCTGATTCCCAGAATGGTGCACTTTGAATCATAGGATGTTCTAGTGGTCACAGTCTAAACCGGATTGCAGAGCTGCTTCTCTCTGAAAGCTCTAGGGGAGAATCCATCACTTTTTTGAGACACAGTCTCACTTTGTTGCCAGGCCTTGGTCCAGACCAGCCTGGCCAACATGGTGAAACCCTGTCTCTACTAAAAATACAAAAATTAGCCAAGCATGGTGGTGTGCGCCTGTAATCCCAGCTACTGGGCAGGCTGAGGCAGGAGAATCACTTGAACCTGGGAGACGGAGGTTGCAGTGAGCCGAGATCGCACTACTACACTCCAGCCTGGGTAACAGAGTGACTCTGTCTCTAAAAAAAAAAAAAGAAAATCCTCTCTGGACCTCTAAAAGCCCGTGTTTTTCCCCATAAGGCAAAGAGAGTTCAGGAGTCCTGGGGACATGCCCACCAGCAGACTGTATTCCCCCATAGACCACCCTGGATACTGGGCACCCTGGGATTCCCTGCTAAAATGACCCAAGCCTGCCTCCAGGGCCAGCACAGGGTCCTCCCATGGGAGGTGGACCCTGCCACAGGGACCATCCTGGGGTTCCAGGATGACTGTTTGGGGGCCTGTGGACAGAGCTAGGAGATGTGGGCTGGGGTATTTGCATCCATGTGGCCCCTCGGGGTGAGGGACAGAGTCAGAAACGGAAAGAGAGTGGAGGATGGGCAGCCCACCACTCATATTCCATCATGGAATTCAGAGGAGACCCAGAACTCTGAGTCGGAGCCTGGCTTTCCAGGTTGTTTTGAAGATACAGTCCTCAAGCTAGAAGAATGGAAGATGTTGTGTTTGTCTGATAGTCGGTAGCTTGAGTTGTAACTTTTATTTACACACAGAGTACGTGGGCCTCAGTGTGTACTCCTGTCTTCAGGCCCACAACATGGAGGACTGGCTTCAGAGATCCTCCCAGCCTGGCGATCTGGATCTGACCTTCCTGGCGCCCCTCCCCCAAATCCAGCTGACCAGCTGACCGCTTTCTGTCTTCTCTCCCCAGGATAGCTGCCGCCCGGGAGAGGCGACCCGGGCGCCCTGCTAGGGTGACGGCCCCTGCCCTCGGCCCGGGATCATGAAAGGCCTCGGTGACAGCCGCCCCCGCCACCTCTCCGACAGCCTAGACCCACCCCACGAGCCCCTGTTTGCAGGGACCGACCGCAACCCCTACCTGCTGTCGCCCACGGAGGCCTTTGCCCGCGAGGCCCGCTTCCCTGGGCAGAACACCCTGCCGGGGGATGGCCTCTTTCCCCTCAACAACCAGCTGCCCCCGCCCAGCAGCACCTTTCCCCGCATCCACTACAACTCCCACTTCGAGGTGCCAGAGGAGAGCCCCTTCCCCAGCCATGCTCAGGCCACCAAGATCAACCGGCTGCCCGCCAACCTCCTGGACCAGTTTGAGAAGCAGCTGCCCATCCATCGTGATGGCTTCAGCACCCTCCAGTTCCCCCGTGGTGAGGCCAAGGCCCGTGGTGAGAGCCCTGGCCGCATCCGCCACCTGGTCCACTCAGTCCAGCGGCTTTTCTTCACCAAGGCACCCTCACTGGAGGGCACAGCGGGCAAGGTCGGTGGCAATGGCAGCAAGAAGGGTGGCATGGAGGACGGCAAGGGCCGGAGGGCCAAAAGCAAGGAGCGGGCCAAGGCTGGGGAGCCCAAACGCCGCAGCCGCTCCAACATCTCAGGCTGGTGGAGCTCCGATGACAACTTGGACGGTGAGGCCGGCGCCTTCCGCAGCAGTGGCCCAGCCTCCGGGCTGATGACACTAGGCCGCCAGGCAGAACGCAGCCAGCCACGCTACTTCATGCACGCCTACAACACCATCAGTGGGCACATGCTCAAAGCCACCAAGAACAACGCTACCGAGCTGACCGCCCCACCACCCCCGCCCGCACCCCCAGCCACCTGCCCCAGCCTTGGGGTGGGCACTGACACCAACTACGTCAAACGAGGCTCCTGGTCCACTCTGACACTCAGCCACGCCCACGAGGTCTGCCAGAAGACCTCGGCCACCTTGGATAAGAGCCTGCTCAAGTCCAAATCCTGCCACCAGGGTCTAGCCTACCATTACCTGCAGGTGGGTCTCTGCCAGGGTCAGGGGTGGGGTGAGGGCTCTGGGAACGACACCAGTTTTGAGGCCTAGCTGTACCACAGATTCACTTGGCAAGTCACTTCATTCTGGGCCTCTGTGGCTCAACTATAAAATGGGTGGCCCAGTGGTACCTGCTAATCAGGGAGTCCTTCCACTGGTCATGCTCTCAAAAGAGATTAATTAGGGCCTTTCTGAGCCCAGCCCTGAGCAGGGACTAAAATATGTTCCTGCCCTTTAGAAGACAAATCTGGAAGTTGTGCCATCCCAACCCCCTCACAGAACCAATTGCATGGCCTTCTAATTGCCAGCCTCTGCCTGCCATCCCTATCAGACTGATAGCTGTTTGAGGACAGGGATCACATCTGATGCAGCCATGTGTCCCCAAGGCCCAGGACGGGGTCTGGCATGCAGGAAGTGCTCAGGAAATGTAAGTGAGGGAGGGGTAGATGGACAGATGGACAGTTAAATGAACAGAGTCAGAAATAAAGAAGACACAGTCCCAAAGATTAGGATACTGGGAAAGACATGAACGGTCATGTCAGTGTCAGCAGAGTGTCATGGGGATCAGTACCGAGAATTGCAGGGACCCAGGGGGTCCTAACCCAGCTTGGGGGAATAGCCGCCTTCTTTCAAATGCTCACACTGATTCAGGCACTTGCTGTGCACCAAGACCACATGGCTTGAAAGTGGCAGAAGGCTGAGACATCACTGTGGCTGCACATTTCCAAGTGGCTCTCAAGGCAGGTAGAGCAAGGGGCTGTGAACTGAATGGCTCCCCAGGGCAAAACCAGGCTGTGGGTGGAAATTACAGAAAGCAGATTTTAGGTGGAAGGAGGCGCTTCTGTAGGTAGTGAGCGCCTCATCTCAGGGGGAATGCAAGTGCAGGCCTGGCCAGCCCTTGGGAACTCTAATGAGTCTTTTGTGTTTTTTTAGACAGTTTCATTTTTGTTGCCCAGGCTGGAATGCAGTGGCGCCATCTCAGCTCACTGCAATCTCTGCCTCCCGGGTTCAAGCAATTCTCCTGCCTCAGCCTCCCAAGTAGCTGGGATTACAGGCACCTACCACCATGCCTCGTTAATTTTTTGTATGTTTAATAGAAACGGGATTTCATCATGTTGGCCAGGCTGGTTTTGAACTCCTAACCTCCAGTCTGCCTTAGACTCCCAAAGTGCAGGGATTACAGGACTGAGCCCCTGCGCCCAGGCTTTTTTTTTTTTTTTTCCGAGATGGAGTTTCAAACTTATCACCCAGTCTGGAGTACAATGGCGCGATCCTGGCTCACTGCAACCTCCGCCTCCCGGGTTCCAGTGATTCTCCTTCCTCAGCCTCCCGAGTAGCTGGGATTATAGGTGCGAGCCACCACGCCTGGCCAATTTTTGTATTTTTAGTGGAGATGAGGTTTCATCATGTTGGCCAGGCTAGTCTCGAATTCCTGACCTCAGGTGAGGACCTGCCTCAGCCTCCCAAAGTGCTGGGATTACAGACGTGAGCCACCACGCCCAGCCATGAGATGCATTTTGAACGAGATGATCTTTGGGGTCTAACAAAGCCCTGACTTCTTATCATCTTGTATGAAATACCAGAAACAGTGAGACATTTTCTTTTTCAATAGGAGGAAACTGAAATCTAGGCAGTATTTGATATATTTAGGGCTCTTGTGGTTCTGAAACTGCTTCCTTGGTTTAGAAGCATTAGGGAGGGTGATGTGTGACCGGGGTTCCTCTCAAAATGGTATGGTTGGGTCTGATCATGTAACAATGCCGCAGAAACACCATGAGAGGGTGGCCCTGTGGGCCCTGGAGTCTGTGCTGCCTGCTTGGGTGACAGGAGGTGAGTGGGTGGCTTAGCAACAGTTTCTGAGCAGTGATGTACAAGGCCACGTTCCCAAGGGACACTGGGGATAGTGGGGCTGGACTAGCAAGTGGCTTGTAGGCAGAATGCACTGGTCCTAGGCTGGGCAGTCTGCTGAGGGTTTATGGGAAGGCTGGGTGGGGCAGGAGTGGGAGTCCTAGACGTTACCTTTCCTTTGTGGAAAGTGGGCCTCTGGCATGGAGGGCATGGAGAAGGGTGCCATACCTGTGTGGGCATGGCCCTTGGGCAGTGTGCGTATGTGTATGTGATACAGAGTGGGCATGCTGTGTACACTCAGTATGTGGGCTTGGACATCTTTGGTGACATGTGTAGCCTGCTGAGGGGTACGCTGTGTGCATGTGGAGGCGGGAACAATGCAAGGTGGATACACGTTGTGTGTCCACAGTGCAGTAGTTACTGGTGCAAATGTCCAGAGGGAGGGTAGTGGGAAGGTGAGTGTGCTCTGTGTATATGTTGCATACTTGTGGAGGGGTTGCCGTGACGAAGTGGCTGCTGGTGTGTGTCCTTGGTGAGGTGTGTGGTACACTGGGGGTAGTCACTGAGGGGCATGGGGCGTATGCTTGTTCTGTACATATTGAGATATGTGTATAGGATGAGGCATGTTTACTCTGTGCACAGGCTGTGTGTGAGTGCTGAGATGTGTGCATTTTTCGTTACACAGTGACCATCCACTGTGTTTCCGTAACAGTGTAAATGAAATGGCCAGGAATGTAGCCTGTGTGCACTGCCCTGGGGCAGCCAGCAGAGCCTGGCCTCAGAAGGACAGGGGAGGTCCCCTCAGTTGGTTACTGCCACCATAACCACTGGGGACTGGGGGACCAGGGCTGCCCTCACAGCCGTGACCTCACCTGCCCTATCACAGCCCCATTCCGTGGACGGATTCCCTGAAGTTCAGATGGGAAAACAGCCCTTTTTCCAGCTCACCATGTGGCTACCTGAACCGGGGAAGCACTCTGCTCTCTGTACCTCAGTTTTCCCACCTTGGGACAGAGAATATCCATTGACTCTGGGACCCCATCCCCCCTCCATGCTGATGTGCCAGGGTCCTCTGATTCCCCATTCTAGGCTCAGGTTCTGGATCCAGGTCTAGGGCCTCTTTCTGCAAGTGCCTTGCGTCCCTCAGGCCTGGTGTTCTCATCTGCGCAGTGGGATCATAAGCATCCCCTGAGACAGCCAGAGTGAAGTGACTGTGGGGCCAAGCAGAGATGGCTGCAGTGGAGGCCACCGTGACCACAGGGCCTAGGGCATTGCTTCTGGGGCAAACCCAGCCTGGGATCCATGGAGAAATCCGAGGCTGGAGAGACTCTGGAACCCGGGTATTCCTCCCAGCCCAGGGCTCTGCTCTGCTGCCCCTTGGTTTCAAAAGCGGGAAACCCAGCACGTGAGCCCGAACTCTGCAGGGAACGAGGGAGATTCAGGTCCCAGAGATGGGGGTTCTCGCCATCTGCTCATTTTCTGCGGTGGCCCCACTGAGTCCTGTGCCCCATCCCCAGGTACCCGGCGGCGGCGGCGAGTGGAGCACGACGCTGCTGTCCCCACGCGAGACGGATGCCGCGGCCGAGGGCCCCATCCCGTGCCGGCGCATGCGCAGCGGCAGCTACATCAAGGCCATGGGCGACGAGGACAGCGACGAGTCCGGCGGCAGCCCCAAGCCCTCACCCAAGACCGCGGCGCGGCGCCAGAGCTATCTGAGGGCCACGCAGCAGTCGCTGGGAGAGCAGAGCAACCCGCGCAGGTAGGCGCGCAGCTCCACCCCTAGGGTCCCGCCCACAGACAAGCCCCGCCCACTACGAGTCCTGATCCCTGGGAGGACTCTCCCATTAAAATAAGCCCCGCCCGCGTGGTAGCCCCGCCCCCTTTGAGCCCCGCCCACTTATGAGTCCTGCTCCCAGAGAGAACCCCCTCATTAAAATAAGGCCCGCCCGGCCCGCTGGCTCACGCCTGTAATCCCAGAACTTTGGGAGGTCGAGGCGGGTGGATCACTTGAGGTCAAGAGTTGGCCAACATGGGGAAACCCCGTCTCTACTAAAAATACAAAAATTAGCTGGGCTGGCGGCAGGCGCCTGTAATCCCAGATACTTGGGAGACTGAGGTAGGAGAATCGCTTAAACCCGGGAGGCGGAGGTTGCAGTGAGCCGAGATCGCGTCACTGCACTCCAACCTGGGCGACTGAGCTAGACTCCGTATCAAAAAAAAAAAAAAAAAAGGAAGAAAGAAAGAAAAAGAAAAGCCCTGCCCGCGTGGAAGCCCCTCCCAGAGGCTTTTCTCGCTCCTTCGGGTGAGCCCCGCCCACTTGTGAGCCCTCCCGGGGAAAACCTCTTTCGGTAAGTACAAGTCCCGCTCACCCGCAAGCCTCCTCCCCTAGGTGAACCCCTCATAGGTATGCCCCACCCCGGGAGCCTCGCCTTCCTCCCATTCGGTTGTCCCCCGGAGATCCCAGCCCACAGATGAATCCTGTCCCTCAGCTTCAGATCCAGGTGAACTCGCTGCTATAATGAAGCATCCCCTGAGACAGCCAGAGTGAAGTGACTGTGGGGCCAAGCAGAGATGGCTGCAGTGGAGGCCACCGTGACCACAGGGCATAGGGCGTAGCTTCTGGTGCTACAGAGTGGGCATGCTGTGTACACTCAGTATGTGGGCTTGGACATCTTTGGTGACATGTGTAGCCTGCTGAGGGGTAGGCTGTGTGCATGTGGAGGCGGGAACAATGCAAGGTGGATACACGTTGTGTGTCCACAGTGCAGTAGTTACTGGTGCAAATGTCCAGAGGGAGGGTAGTGGGAAGGTGAGTGTGCTCTGTGTATATGTTGCATACTTGTGGAGGGGTTGCCGTGACGAAGTGGCTGCTGGTGTGTGTCCTTGGTGAGGTGTGTGGTACACTGGGGGTAGTCACTGAGGGGCATGGGGCGTATGCTTGTTCTGTACATATTGAGATATGTGTATAGGATGAGGCATGTTTACTCTATGCACAGGCTGTGTGTGAGTGCTGAGATGTGTGCATTTTTCGTTACACAGTGACCATCCACTGTGTTTCCGTAACAGTGTAAATGAAATGGCCAGGAATGTAGCCTGTGTGCACTGCCCTGGGGCAGCCAGCAGAGCCTGGCCTCAGAAGGACAGGGGAGGTCCCCTCAGTTGGTTACTGCCACCATAACCACTGGGGACTGGGGGACCAGGGCTGCCCTCACAGCCGTGACCTCACCTGCCCTATCACAGCCCCATTCCGTGGACGGATTCCCTGAAGTTCAGATGGGAAAACAGCCCTTTTTCCAGCTCACCATGTGGCTACCTGAACCGGGGAAGCACTCTGCTCTCTGTACCTCAGTTTTCCCACCTTGGGACAGAGAATATCCATTGACTCTGGGACCCCATCCCCCCTCCATGCTGATGTGCCAGGGTCCTCTGATTCCCCATTCTAGGCTCAGGTTCTGGATCCAGGTCTAGGGCCTCTTTCTGCAAGTGCCTTGCGTCCCTCAGGCCTGGTGTTCTCATCTGCGCAGTGGGATCATAAGCATCCCCTGAGACAGCCAGAGTGAAGTGACTGTGGGGCCAAGCAGAGATGGCTGCAGTGGAGGCCACCGTGACCACAGGGCCTAGGGCATTGCTTCTGGGGCAAACCCAGCCTGGGATCCATGGAGAAATCCGAGGCTGGAGAGACTCTGGAACCCGGGTATTCCTCCCAGCCCAGGGCTCTGCTCTGCTGCCCCTTGGTTTCAAAAGCGGGAAACCCAGCACGTGAGCCCGAACTCTGCAGGGAACGAGGGAGATTCAGGTCCCAGAGATGGGGGTTCTCGCCATCTGCTCATTTTCTGCGGTGGCCCCACTGAGTCCTGTGCCCCATCCCCAGGTACCCGGCGGCGGCGGCGAGTGGAGCACGACGCTGCTGTCCCCACGCGAGACGGATGCCGCGGCCGAGGGCCCCATCCCGTGCCGGCGCATGCGCAGCGGCAGCTACATCAAGGCCATGGGCGACGAGGACAGCGACGAGTCCGGCGGCAGCCCCAAGCCCTCACCCAAGACCGCGGCGCGGCGCCAGAGCTATCTGAGGGCCACGCAGCAGTCGCTGGGAGAGCAGAGCAACCCGCGCAGGTAGGCGCGCAGCTCCACCCCTAGGGTCCCGCCCACAGACAAGCCCCGCCCACTACGAGTCCTGATCCCTGGGAGGACTCTCCCATTAAAATAAGCCCCGCCCGCGTGGTAGCCCCGCCCCCTTTGAGCCCCGCCCACTTATGAGTCCTGCTCCCAGAGAGAACCCCCTCATTAAAATAAGGCCCGCCCGGCCCGCTGGCTCACGCCTGTAATCCCAGAACTTTGGGAGGTCGAGGCGGGTGGATCACTTGAGGTCAAGAGTTGGCCAACATGGGGAAACCCCGTCTCTACTAAAAATACAAAAATTAGCTGGGCTGGCGGCAGGCGCCTGTAATCCCAGATACTTGGGAGACTGAGGTAGGAGAATCGCTTAAACCCGGGAGGCGGAGGTTGCAGTGAGCCGAGATCGCGTCACTGCACTCCAACCTGGGCGACTGAGCTAGACTCCGTATCAAAAAAAAAAAAAAAAAAAAGGAAGAAAGAAAGAAAAAGAAAAGCCCTGCCCGCGTGGAAGCCCCTCCCAGAGGCTTTTCTCGCTCCTTCGGGTGAGCCCTGCCCACTTGTGAGCCCTCCCGGGGAAAACCTCTTTCGGTAAGTACAAGTCCCGCTCACCCGCAAGCCTCCTCCCCTAGGTGAACCCCTCATAGGTATGCCCCACCCCGGGAGCCTCGCCTTCCTCCCATTCGGTTGTCCCCCGGAGATCCCAGCCCACAGATGAATCCTGTCCCTCAGCTTCAGATCCAGGTGAACTCGCTGCTATAATGATCCAGGCCCCCTAAGTGAACCCGCGGTCAGGTTAGCTCCCTCCATGAGATTCTCAGGTTGGCCCTGCACTCTGATGAATTGACCTCGAAGAGTCCCGCCAATTAGAGAACCACCCCTTGAGCCCCACTCACAGTTCAGCCCTGACCACAGGTGAGCCGCATCCTTTGGTAAACCCCAATAATGAAAGCCACTCTTGGGTGATAGGTCCAGGTAAACCCCTCCTAAAGGAGCCACTTCCCCAGGTAAGTTCCACTCCCACAGGGGAACTGTCCCACGGGATCTTGGTCTTCAGGTTAGGAGAGCCTGCCCTAAGTGAGTGCATCACCTGTAACAGCACTGCCTAGGGAAGGCGAGAGCGCGCTCTACCTTTGCCCCTGTAACTGATCCCTGTGGGGAGCTCCAAGATGGGGGAGGGAGGTGAATCCAGAAGTCAAAGAGTGATAGACAGGCTTTTCCTGTCCCAGTGCCTGCCTGGAATTCACCAGCCAAGCCCCATCGTGTTGCTGTAAGGCTTGGCCGAGTTAGGGGAACAAGCTTCTCCCTAGATCTTCAACTATGGGAGACAGGAGCCAAGGCTTCATGGAGGAGGTGGCCTGGGAAGACTGAGACAGAGGGAAAAGAACAGGTCAGGTGACACTGGTACCTAGGCAGGAAGAGGACAGTGTTCTCGGAGCAGCCAGGAGTCTAGTTGACTGGGCAGAAGACAGAGAATGGCCTCCAGGATGGAATTCAGGACACCACCAGACAATTCCAGGTCTGCCCCTCTCTTAACCTTAGTTTCTCCATCTTTTTTGTGGGGGAAGTGGGGAATAGGGTCTTGCTATGTCGCCCAGGTTGGAGTGCAATAGTGCAATCATGGCTCACTGCAACCTCGACCTCCTGCACTCAAGTGATCCTCCTACCTCAGCGTCCTGAGTAGCTGGGAGTACAGTCATGGGCCACCATGCCCAGCTAATTTTTTAAAAGAAGTTTTTGTGACTGCGCACAGTGGCTCACGCTTGTAATCCCTGCACTTTGGGAGGCCAAGGCAGGCAGATCACTTGAGGTCAGGAGTTCGACACCAGCCTGGTCAACATGGCGAAACCGCATCTCTAACTAAAAATATAAAAATTAGCAGGTCATGGTGGTTCACGCCTGTAATCCCAGCTACTAGGGAGGCTGAGGCATGAAAATCACTTGAACCCAGGAGGCAGAGGTTGCAGGGAGCTGAGATCATGCCACTGCACTCCAGCCTGGGTGATAGAGTGAGACTGTCTCAAAAAAAAAAGAAAAAAAAAAAAAAATATATATGTATATATTGCTCTCCCCTTGCTTATCACCCCCCGCACTGCCCAGGCCGGCAGTGACTTCCGTTTTTCCCTCTGCCACTGGATGACCTTGGCCAGTCTTTTTCCCTCTGGGCCTCAGTTTCCCAGGCCTCACTATGTTGCCCAGAGTGGTGTTGAACTCCTCGGCTCAAGTGACTCTTCTGCTTTGGCCTCCCAAAGTGCTGGGATTATAGGTGTGAGCCCCCACGCCTGCTCAGTTTCCCCATCTTTTTTTTCTTTTTTTGGAGACAGAGTCTTACTCTGTTGCCCAGGCTGGAGTGCAATGGCACAAACTTGGCTCACTACAACCTCCACCTCCCGGGTTCAAGCAATTCTCCTGCCTCAGCCTCCCGAGTAGCTGGGATTACAGGCGCACGTCATCATGCCCGGCTAATTTTTGTATTTTAGTAGAGATGGGGTTTCACCATGGTGTCCAGGCTGGTCTCGAACTCCTGACCTCAGGTGATCCACCTGCCTCGGCCTCCCAAAGTGCTAGGGTTACAGCCACGCCCGGCCCAGTTTCCCCATCTTTAAGTGAAGGGGCTGAGCTGTAGGATCTCTAAGATCCCTTCTAGTACTGAGATCCTACTAGGATATCTATGAGTGACCAGTGGGCAGTAAGGTGGGAGAGGCAGGAAGCCCAGGGCTTAGGCCTAGATTCAAGGGAAGCAATAATAATAACAGTAGTAATAGTAGCAATAATAGTAAGAGCTGCTGTCTGTTAGCACTTGCCCGCTGGCCACTGTGCCTGACCCGATGTCCTTTAATCTACATCACTGGATCCTCACTGCAGCCCCAGCAGGCAGGCAGCGTCATCCCCATTTTAGAGATGAGGAAACTGAGACTTAAGTAAGGGGTAATGGCTTGCCCAGGGTCACCCAGCAGAGAAAGCTGGATTCCAGTCCAAACCCTTCTGTGTCAGGGGCCCGAGCTATTGGATGCTTGGATTTTATCCCCAGAATGAGGACTGGGGGAGGCCCAGGGTCAGGTAGACGTGAGAAAGATTAAAGGACTGGGGTCATGGAGATAAGGGGTGAGTCTAGGGGCCTGATAGAAGCCACTTGAACATCGCCACAGAGCTGATGCCCTTTGGGAACCCTAGGCTGTAGAACTTAACCCACCTCTGTCAGGCCTCTGGAAATGTCCCAGACCTGCAAGGAGGAAGGAAAGGGGCTGCAGAATTGGGCAGGGCCAGCCTTGGGCTTTAAACAGTCAAATGCAAGCTCGTGCTGCCACCCTGTGGCTCCAGTGGGCATCACAGGGGTGGACCACCTGTGCATCACAGATGGTCAAGGCCTCCAAAAGCTGGTTGAACAATGGGTGGGCTGAGCCCTGTCTGCTCCCCACTCCCCACCAGGAGTCTGGACCGCCTGGATTCAGTGGACATGCTGCTGCCCTCCAAGTGTCCAAGCTGGGAAGAGGACTACACCCCTGTCAGCGACAGCCTCAATGACTCCAGCTGCATCAGTCAGGTGAGGGTGGCAGGCAGGCTGGAGAGTCAGGGGGTTTGAGTACTGACTCCCGTCTGGGAAGAGTACACCCCCAGGCCCACCCCATGCTGAGTGGCCCCCAGATGTCTGCACTGTGCTTCTGTTTGGTCCTTATTCCTGAAGCTTCCTGTGTGTGTCTCTGCCCCACCGACTGTCCTGTGGCTGGAGAGCACAGTTATGGGGCCTGACCCAGGACCCCAAAGGAGGAAGCCCATACCACCATTGTAAACACAGGATGCCAGCAGGGCGCCTGTCGCTTCTCATGGGGTTCAGAACCATGAGGATAGGGAACTGGAGACCTGGGTTCGAGTCCCAGTTTTGTCACTTGACAGTATGAACCCAGGATAGTCACCTCCCCTCCCTGAGCCTCGGTTTCCTGATTTACCAGAGGAAGGTGAGCATTTCTATTTGGGGGCTGTTGAGAGGAATAAGTGGGATTGTGAAGGCGGTGTGCTCAGCAGAGGGTAGCTGCCTTTCTGGTTATTATTAGCATCTTGTGTGGCCTCCAGCAAGTGACTGCTCTACTTTGGACCTCTGTGCCCACCTACTCAGTGGGCAGTTGTGCTCCCAGGCGCAACCAGCTCTGCCTGTGTCAGTGAGGAGCACGCTGTGCTGCACGTTGAATTTGCATGCCACCCTCTCAACCATCAGCTCCTTGAGCCCTTAACCATCCCCAGAGGTGGCCTTGTTATCCATATTCCCATTTCATAGGAGAGGCAACTGAGGCTCAGAGAGGTGAGGTCATGCAGCTAGGAGAAGGCAAAGTTGGGCAGGGATCTGGGGCTGTCCAACCCAGACCTGGACCTCAGCTCCTGCCATGTACTCAGCACTTTAGGGTTTGCAAAGGGAGAACCAGTCAGGACCAAAAGGCACCCTGCGTTGTGTGGATGGGGAGATGAGCCCCCCGAGAAGGCAGACGCCTGCTGGTGGTAGCAGTTAGGCAGTGGGGCAGCCAGGTGCGAGTCCAGCCCCCTCTCAGCAGGAATAGGCCACTGTGTGCAGGCCCAGGACCAGGGTTAGAGGACTGCTTAGAAGGTTTTGGGACCCCGACTCCTCACAACTCCATTATTCCTGGCCTAGCCAAACTCCTTCCCCAGCCCCTCAGACATGGGGAGGGGTAGAGTGCCCCAGCCCAGGGAACCCCCTGCCCCTGCCCCCCTCATCCAGACTCCACCAAGTCACCCCTGAACTGCTGTCCTCCAATCCATACTCAGTGGCCAAATGGAGCTGTCAAAGCCACACCCCTGCTCAAGACCCTCCCTTGTCTCCCACCTCCCGCAGAGGGAAAGCCACAGTCCTTACTTGGACCTGTGAAGCCCTGTAAGACCTAGGCCCTGCCTCCCTGTTGGACCCTGTCCCTTGCCCTGCTCCAGCCACGCTGGCCTCCTTTCTGCTCCTTATATAGGAGCATGCCACATCATTCTGCTCCAGGCCCTCTGCATTTGCTGTTTCCTCTTCTCAAATCTTTGCACAGCTGGCTCCTCACGTTTCAGGTCTCTGCTCGAATGTCACCTCCTCAGAGAGGCTGCCTGTGATCGCTCTGTCTAAAGTAGCCCTCCCAGGCGCTGTTCCTTTACCCTGCTTAACTGACACTGCCTGGAACTAGAATCGTTTGCTTATTTACTTAATGTCTGTCTCCCTCTTAAAACTAGGATCTCCTGGGGGCGGGGGCCTTGCTGTCTTGTTGCCTGCAGTGTCCCCAGTGCCTGGCACAGTGCCTGGCACAGGGCAGATGCTCAGTAGGTGTTTGCTGAATGGACGGCGTCCCTCCCTGTCTCTCCCATCCCACCACGTTTTCTCATCTCAGTCTTCCTGTCTGTGTCTCTCTCCGTCTGTTTTTTTTTCTCTCTCTCCCCTCATTCACATTTTTCTCTGATTCTCTCCAGTGTGTCTCCATCTCCATGTCTCTCTCTGTGTCTGTCTGTCTCTCTACACATCCCATCTCCACCCAGGCCTGGGCCTGGCACCCGGGACACCTTTGCCCTTTAACTACACAAAAAGGCTTATGAATCAGCCAGGCTGGGGGCAGCAGCAGGTCTCACCTACCACCCGCTGCCCAGTCCCAGTTCTCTCCTAGTCCAGGATCCTCTGACCCCTCACAGCCTCACCCCTAGAAGCTTGAGTGACCCAAGCCACATATTTGGCCCCAAAGTCAGAGATATCCTAGGCTGGGGCAGAGCAGGCTCTGGGCTCCATCCCTAATCTGTATCTCCAGGTGGGCTGCCTGCCAGATGAGAGGCAGCAGACAGAGGATACATGGTCACAGGGGCTAGACCTAAAGAAGAACTTTTATTTTATTTGTTTGTTTATTTGTTTATTTATTTATTTTGAGATGGAGTTTCGCTCTTGTTGCCCAGGCTGGAGTACAATGGCGTGATCTCGGCTCACCGAAACCTCTGCCTCCCGGGTTCAAGTGATTCTCCTGCCTCAGCCTCCCTAGTAACTCCCACAGGCATGTACTACCATGCCTGGCTAATTTTGTATTTTTAGTAGAGATGGGGTTTCTCCATATTGGTCAGGCTGGTCTTGAACTGCCGACCTCAGGTGATCCGCCCACCTTGGCCTCCCAGAGTGCTGGGATTACAGGCATGAGCTATGGCGCCCGGCCAAGAAGGACTTTTAAACAGCAGATTATAAGTCCTCAGTAATGCCCAGCCCCAGAAGGAGTGAGCCTCCCATCCCTGGAAGAAGCCAAGTGAGACCTCCTAGCAGCTGGGTCCCAGCCAGTCTGGGGAGGAGGTTAGACCAGCCAGCTTCAAGTTTCCTTGCAACTGACCCTGAATCCCCAGCCCCAGCCCCAGCCCTGGTCCTCCCATAACCCTCACCCTCTCTTTCCTGCAGATTTTTGGACAGGCCTCCCTGATCCCCCAGTTGTTTGGCCATGAGCAGCAGGTCAGTATGTTTGCCCTTCTCTTCCACCCCAATCCCAGAGTGTAGGTCTGGGTCTTAGGCCTGCCCTCTGAGTGGTCCCAGCACCCAGTCCAGGTGGGTACAAGCAGAGCCATCACCAGGAAATCCACTTCCAATGGATGGAGTTTAAGCTCACATTGGTGTCCTGACCCTCCACTCCCTGCCCTTATTGCTTCACCTCTGTGTGCCTCAGTTTCCTCCTTTTGAAGATGGGGAAGAATGAGCTAGGTGCTGTGGATGGGGCAAGAAATAACTCCAGGACTCCTGCCCTTCTCTCTCCTCCCACAAAGCCTGGGTCAGGCCTAGGGAGACTGTTGAAGTTGGACAGGTCAGGGGCTGGGGGCTGGTGATATTAGCTTCCAGGTCCCAGCCCCCAGATCCCTTGGCTTTTCTCCTTTCTGGAGCCCCAGGAGGACATTTAAGGATGCTGGGGTGTTGGAGTGAGTGTGGAGACTTTCCAGCTTCACACAGGTTGGCGAGGTTATGCTGCTTACAGCACTGTCTGGCTGCCCTAAGGGCGCCACCTCCCAGACACTCCTTTCCTGCCCATGGAAGTGTCCCTCTCCTCCCTCCCAGGCCAAAGACCAAAAACCAGGGGCAGGAAAGGTACTCTGAGATCAACCCCACTTTGAGCCAGGAGGGTGTAAGGGACTTGTGCAAGGCCACACAACCCACAGGGGCAAAACTAGGACCAGACCTCCAGCTACTGATTCCAGCCATGGCTGCCCCATGTGTCCCTCTCCCCCATGTCACAGGAGCTGTGTATTCCTCCTGAACACATGATTCAAGAAGTTGTTTAAAGAGCCCACAGTGGGCCAAGCCACCTCTTCCCCATCTACCTTTAATAGGCGAGTGGTAAGGATGTGATGCATTAACATACAAAGCCCCCAGGACAGTGCCTGCTACACAGTAAATCCTCAGTGATACACACACCAGCAGCACTGACCAGCTGGTCTCGCCTCTGATGGCTCAAGAGCATCTTAACCAACATTGACAGACTCCACGGAGTTACCTGTATTCGTGGGTAGAGGTTACTAGGTGCATACTCTCTTGGACTCTATCCTAAGCCTGTGATATGAATTCTCTCATTTCATCTTTACCACAACCCTGTGAAATGGGGACTATAGCCCCATTTTATAGGTGGGGAAACTGAGACACAAAGTGATTAAGTGACTTGCCCACGTTCATATTGCGAGGAAATGATGGGCCAAGGGTTGGACCCATGGCAGTCTAGTTCCAGAGCCATGTGGTTCCTGTGTGATCCCAAAGCAAGACCTCATGCCCCCGGCAGTCACGAGGGTCTCTTCATAACTTCAGGATGCAGTTTTGGAGGAGAAACACCTATCTCTTTAACACTCCTTCTGAGTGAATTTTGGGTTTGCCACATGGCCTATATTTTAATTTATCAGTACGATACAGTAGAACTTTATGTAATGATGGAAATGTTCTATAATCCACACTGTCCAATAAGGTAGCCACTAGCTATATGTGACTTTATTTATTTACTTATTTTTGAGATACGGTCTCACTCTGTCACCCACGCTGAGTGCAGTGGTGCGATCATGGTTCACTGCAGCCTCCACCTCCCAGGCTCAGGTGATCGTCCCACCTCAACATCCTGAGTAGCTGTGACTACAGGCATGCACTACCATCCCTGGCTAATTTTTTATTAGAGACAGGGTCTCGCTATGTGGCCCAGGCTGGTCTCAAACTCATGAACTCAAGTGATCCTCCCACATCAGCCCCGCAAAGTGCTGAGATTACAGGCGTGAGCCACTGTGTCTGGCTTACCTGTGGTCTTGAGCAAGTCAAATGTGGCTCCTGTGACTATGGAACTTTATTTAATTTTAATCAAAAAGAAATTTTTTTTTGAGACGGAGTCTCATTTTATCACCCAGGCTGGAGTGCAGTTGCCCAATCTCAGCTCACTGCAACCTCCCCCTCCAGGGTTCCAGTGATTCTCCTGCTTCAGCCTCCCAAGTAGCTGGCACCACAGGCATGTGCCACCACGCTCGACCAATTTTGAGATTTGTAGTAGAGACGGGGTTTCGCCATGTTGGCCAGGCTGGTCTCGAACTCCTGACCTCAAGTGATCTACCCACCTTGGCCTCCCAAAGTGCTGGGATTATAGGCATAAGCCACCACACCTGGCCTAATCAATCATTATTATCATTTTAAAATTTTTTTAGAGGCAGGATCTTGCTTTGTCCCCCAGGCTGGAGTGCAGTGTCATGATCATAGTTCACTGCAGCCTGGAACTCCTGGGCTCAAGTAACTGGGGCTTGAGGTACATGCTACCACACCTGGCTAATTTTTATATTTTTAATTTCTTTTGTAGAGCTGGGGTCCCACTATGTTACCCAGGCTGAATTTTAATTAATTTAAACCTAAATAGCCATACATAGCTCGTGGCTGCCATATTGAAATGCACAGATTTGGCCAGGCGCAGTGGCTCATGCCTGTAATCCCAGCACTTTGGGAGGCCAAGGCGGGCAGATCACGAGGTCAGGAGTTTGAGACCAGCCTGGCCAATATGGTGAAACCCCATCGTTACTAAAAATACAAAAATTAGCCGGGCATGGTGGCATACACCTGTAGTCCCAGCTACTCAGAAGGCCGAGGCAGAAGAATTTCTTAAACCCGGGAGGTGGAGGTTGCAGTGAGCCGAGATCGCGCTATTGCACTCCAGCCTGGGAGACAGAGCAAGATTCCATCTCAAAAGAAAAAAAAAAAAAAAAAAAGCACAGATTTAGAACTTTCCATTCACCCTCCAAATTGGGTGAACACCCATCTAATTGTTTGACCTGATGCAGTCTCAGATGAGAACATGAGCATCTATTTCACGTAGATGAGGAGAAACTGACCCAGAGAAGATAGTGATGGCCTGAGGTTACACAGCTGGGTGGGACATAGCTGGCCCCAGGCCCAGATCAATCTTTTCCTCCACATGGTCAGTCAGCTTGTGCCCCCTCCCACTCTGGCCCAGGCCAACCCCCAGGATTTCCACATCTTTGGCCAACTGACTCCCCAGCTTATCCTCTGTGGTCTTCAGTTACCAACATGACCTGAGACATGGGTCAGATAGCCCTTCTAGAACCCTCAAAGAGTATGTGCATGGTGAGACCCCTCAAGGCCCACACCCTTGGCTTCAGATTTGCAGGGTCCTAGACAGTCATTTCTGGAGAAATACTCAGGAACCATCTACACAAAGTTGAATTAGATGCAAGATAGCAAATAGCATACACATCACCGTTTTCCATACTGTCCATGGCAGACATCATTAATCAATCCTCACTGCAACTACCTTCACTCCAGTTTTATCTTCTCCCACCAGACAATTGCTTCAGCTTCATCTCTGGCCTCAGCCTCCATTCCAGACCCCTTTCCCAACATCCATTCTGTATACCAGGGCGAGATTAATTTTCCTTAAATACATATTTGGAGTGTTGGTTCTGCCACTTCCTCACTGGGTACCTGTGGCAAATGTCTTCCCCTTACTGACCCTTGGTTTCTTTCCTTGTAAAATAAAGGGATTGGACCATAAGATGGTAAATATCCAGCATACCTACTGCCATCCCCATTCCAACATTCAGGACAGACATTGCTAATTGATTATAGACCTCTTTCACACTAAATTCAGATGTGCCCTTAAAGTCTATTAATCAGTTTGGACCCTGATTTTTATCACAGAGTTAATATCCTGAGATATTCCAACTTTGTCCTCATTATAGAGATGGGAAAATTGAGGCCCAGAGAGGTGGGGCTGTTTCTTTCTTAAGGGCTCCATCTGCCCATCACATACCCTGAGTGAGATGGAGCTGGGTGGGCTGTGGTCAGACCCCGCAGACTGTCCAGCCCTGCCCTAAGCCCACCACCAAGAACCTCTCCCCCCATGATGGGCAAGATAGCCAGCCCCTCATGCCTGCCTTTGCCTGGACAGGTACGGGAGGCAGAGCTGAGTGATCAGTATGAGGCAGCCTGCGAGTCAGCCTGCAGTGAAGCAGAGTCCACAGCGGCAGAGACGCTTGACTTGCCACTGCCCAGCTACTTCCGCTCCCGCAGCCACAGCTACCTGCGTGCCATCCAGGCAGGCTGCTCGCAGGAGGAAGACAGTGTCTCCCTGCAGTCCCTCTCCCCACCGCCCAGTACTGGCAGCCTCAGCAATAGTCGCACGCTTCCAAGTGAGTACTGTGATGTGGGAAGGGGTTTTTTTTCTTTTCAAGGGGACTCTAAGGACCATGCCTGGTGGGCCAGCCTGGGAGGATACAGGGAGGAATCTGTCTCGGGCTGGCCCGCACCAGGGGGATGGTTGGGAGCAAAAGCAGGAGACCTTGGAGCTGAACTTCCAGCCAATTGGCCACTGGAGCTCAAATGGGGGTCCCAGAGGCAGATGCCACCCCTGGGAGGTGTGGGAGGTATTGGAGGGGGCTGGAGCTTGTGGGGTACTTGGTTGCTCATTGGCTTAGAGCAGCCACCTGCTGTAGTCAGGGCTTCCTGAAGCTTGACCTGCCTCTTGGAATTAGTTCAGGTAGGCAAACCTGTAGGGGAGGTTGGAACCTGGAGAGAAGCCTGCAATGAGGGTGGGGTCTGCACTGAGCCTTCTCAAAGGGATGCGTTTACAGGCTTCTTTCATATACACAATCAGGGAATACCTTCTGGATTCTTGGGTGTTTTGTTGTTGTTGTTGTTGATGAGACAGAGTCTCACTCCGTACCCAGGCTGGAGTGCAGTGGCATGATCTTGGCTAACTGAAACCTCTGCCTCCCAGGTTCAAGCAATTCTCATTCTTCAGCCTCCCAAGTAGCTGGAATTACAGGCACGTGCCACCATGCCTGGCTAATTTTTGTATTTTTAATAGAGATGGGATTTCACCATGTTGACCAGGCTGATCTTAAACTTCTGACCTCAAGGGATCTGCTCATCGTGGCCTCTCAAAGTGCTGGGATTATAGGCATGAGCCACCACACCTGGCCCTGGATTCTTGATCTAAATCATCTGAAGATAACCCATATGTGATCAGAGAAAAAAGGGACCCCGTGTAACTGAGCAAGCCATGAAATAATAGAAAATTGCATGTTGTCACTCATAAGACGGAGGTAAACAATGAGAACGCATGGACACAGGGAGGGGAACATCACACACCAGGGCCTGTCGGAGGGGGTGGTGGGAGACAAGGGGAGGGAGAGCATTAGGACAAATACCTAATACATGCAGGGTTTAAAACCTACATGACAGGTTGATAGGTGCAGCAAACCACCATGGCACATGGATACCTTATTAAGTATTATTAAGATGGTCAAAAAAATAAAAAGAAATAATTGAAAATTAGCCGGGCGCAGTGGCTCACACCTATAATCCCAACGCTTTGGGAGGCTGAGGCAGATCACTTGAGCCTAGGAGTTGGAGACCAGCCTGGGCAACATGATGAAACCCGGACTGTAAAAAAAATAAAAAATTAGCTGGTCGGGTTGGCATATGCCTGTGGTCCTTGCTACTCAGGAGGCTGAAGCAGGAGGGTCATCTGAGCCCAGGAGATCAAAGGCGAAGTGAGCTGTGTTCACACCACTGCACTTCAGTCTAGGAGACAGAGCGAGACCTTGTCTCAAAATAATAATAATAGAAAATCAAAACCAAGGGAAAACAGCACGATTTATTGTTTATCAATAGTAGAGAGAGGTTTGAGCTTTCTCTGGCAAGCTAGTTCTCCTCCCTGAGCCTCAGTTTCTCCATGTATAAATTGAGGGCATACGCCAGACCCCAGGGAGCTCTTAAGGAGATGAAATAATACTGTGTACAGGACATGTTTAGGCAGGGACTTGCTTGTGGTAGGAGCTTGGTAAGTGGTAGCTGTTATTATTGGTTCTCAGCTTCCTGAAAATCAAAAGCAATTGGGGGCTGGGCGTGGTGGCTCATGCCTATAATCCCAGCACTTTGGGAAGCCAAGGTGGGCAGATCACTTGAGGTCAGGAGTTCGAGACCCACCTGACCAACATGGCGAAACGCCATTTCTACTAACCATACAAAAATTACCCAGGTGTGGTGCACACCTGTAGTTCTAGCTACTCGGGAGGCTGAGGTATGAGAATCGCTTGAATCCGGGAGGCAGAGGTTGCAATGAGCCGAGATCGAGCCATTGCGCTCCAGCCTGGGTGACAGAGCGAGACCTTGTCTCAAAGAAAAAATAAAAAAGCAATTGGGGTTGGATTGTTGTAGGAAGAGAGGCACTGCTTCAAGTGCTCAACCCGTGTTTGATGTAAATAAATGAACTTGAATCCCATAGATATTCTATACACAGGTAACCAATTTATTGACTGAATGAACTTCTGTTTGCAGGAGGCAGAGCAAGAAACAACTGTCTCACTATTGCCTGTCGCACCCTCTCTGGTCTCCCCGCCCTGCCAGTGGGTTATATCTGGGGCAGATCCTTGAACTTTTCCAGTCACTTTTAATATTTAAGGAACAGTCTCGTTTTCAGTTAGTAAGGGTCCAATCTGGTCTGATTTCAAAACTTCATCCTTGTCTACTGCAAATGTCACACACCCACGGCTAGGGCTTGACCTCAGCTGGGAAGCCCACAGCGGGGAGCTGGGTGTGGCGATCGGTGTCTTCTCTGTTCCTTGTTCACCTCTGTCTGTTTCTGGTTCCTCCACTTGGGAAGGGATGGTGGCCAGGGAGGTGTTGTCTGGCATTGGGACTCTCTGATGCCACATGGTGGCTCTTTCTCCCACCCTGCAGGGTCCCCAGTGCTGTCTTTCCTGGCATGGGCAATCTTCCTTCACCTCACTGTTTCTTATTCCCCCTCAGCTTCTCTATCTGGCAGTCTGCCTCCTCCCCACTCAGCTTCTTTCTGCTAGGGCACCTGGCTCTGCTAGTCAGGCATCTTGGGTAGAATCCTTTGAAGACAACTCCAGCCCTACTTTCCCTCTTGGTGACCACTTAATGACTTTGAAAACAAGGGCCTTTGCCTTATGGGACTCTGAAAGTATAGACTGGTCCACTGCAGCCTCTGAAAGTATAGACTGGCCTGCTACAGCCTTCCTTCTAGTCCTGCTGTTACCGGTAGCCCTGCCAGCCTCTCCACCTTCAAGGTCTCCAAACAGGAGCTGAGGCCCAGGTTCTGTGTCCTCCAAATCCAGAAGAGCTCTCCCAGGCTGTCCCAGACACTGCTATAATTCCAAAGGGGCCCTGGGTGAAGGATAACATCTCCCATATCCTCACACCCATGCGAAGTTCTCTAAGCATTAAGTGGACCTGGAGGGATAGACAGCACCCCTAGCAATTCTCTTCAAATAAACCATCCCTCACCAGTTTTTCCAACCCCAGTCACTCATGAATGGACTGAAGACAGGGGATGGGCTACATGTCCCAATACTGCCTGGGTCCCTGTATTGGTCAGCTCTTGCTACAATTATGCTGCATAACAAACAACCACAAAATCAGCGTAATACAACAATTCACATTTATTTCTTTCTCCCAAGTTTGTCAGTTGGGACAGTTCTGCTCCACGTGTCTTTCATCCTCCTCCTGGGACCAAAGGATCCTCCTGGGATCAGTGGTCTAGCCAGGGCATGTTCTCCTTATGGTGATGGCAGAAGACAGAAGAGCAAGCCTAACTAACCAAACAAGCACATTTCAAGGCCTCTGCTTATGTCACACCTGCTAACATCCTATTGGCTAACACAAGTCATATGACTGAGCTTGTAGACAAGGGATGGAGAAGTACCTGCTCACCTTTGTGTAGGAAACTATATTCATATGGCAAAGGGTATGGCCACAGGGAGGGGTAAAGAATCAGGCTTTGGCTGGGCGCGGTGGCTCATGCCTGTAATCCCAGCACTTTGGGAGGCCGAGGCGGGTGGATCACTTGAGGCCAGGAGTTTGAGACCAGCCTCGCCAACATGGCGAAACCCCGTCTCTACTGAAAATACAAAAATTAGCCAGGCGTGGTGGTGCCTGCCTGTAATTCCAGCTACTCAGGAGGCTGAGGCAGGAGAATCGCTTAAACCCAGGAGGTGGAGGTTGCAGTGAGCCAAGATTGCACCATTGCACTCCAGCCTGGGCAACAAAAGCGAGACTCCATCTCAAAAAAAAAAAAGAATCAGGGTCAACAATTCAGTGCTCCATGATCCATTGTCTTGACTGTATTTACTTATGCCCTTTCCATGTAGAAAATGTTTATTCCCAAGACCCCCAAAAATCTCATCAAATCATGAGATTGGATCAGACTCTTAAGATCTATGTCAGGTCTGGATGTGGCTTCTGTTGAACAATTGACTTAACTTTTTAAAGAAACTATTTATCTACCCCACAGTCTAACCCTCCCCAACCACACATCATACACTGGTGAAACAGGGACAGGATAACTGCAGTTAACACTCCTGTTCAGAAAAGGGGAAAATGGAGGTTCAGAGACTTACTGATCCACAGCAATTCTGAAGTTCTGAAGTCCTGAGCAACTGTTGGGCAAATGCGTTAAGGCAAATGTGTTGGGCAAATGCGTTGATAAGGTCCAAGTTCTCCCTGGGGTTGATTTTCTAGTCTGTTGTTCTCCACAGCTCTTGGTTCTGCTCTCTGAAAGCCCTTACTTCTCCATCAGCATTTCTGGCCACTTCTAAAGAGAACTTGGAGAATATAGCCTTGGGTAGTGGAACACCTTTCTTAGCTTGCTTCCTTCCTAAAGACAGTTAGGGAACTAGATGTCTTTTGCATCTTGAATGGTCTTACTCCCTTTAGCCTAAGCTGGTCAATCTTACCCATGCACCTACCTCAAACATTTGATGAGTTTTCTATGTATTTGATTCCTTGTAATTTCAGGTGCCAAAAACCACACCCATAATTGTTTTTGAGTCATGCCTCTCTCTTGACTTGATGCTTACTTTGGGCTTCTGTGGGACTGTGCCCTTAAGTTTTTGTAGGCCCTTTTGAACAGATAATAGCATCTGCTACCTGGTATCTTGATTGATTGATTGCTTACTTGCTTGATTGAGACAGAGTCTGTCTCTCTGTCGCCCAGGCTGGAGTGCAGTGGTGCGATCTTGGCTCACCGCAACCTCCACCTCTCAGGTTCAAGCAATTATCATGCCTCAGCCTTCCAAGTAGCTGGGACTACAGGCGCACGCCACCATGCCTGGCTAATTTTTGTATTTTTGGTAGAGACAGGGTTTCACCATGTTGGCCAGGC